AACTGGGACAGCTGTCTCATCTGAAGGCTTGACTGGGGGAAGATGAACTTCTAACTCACTCACATGGTGTTAACAGGATTCAGTTCCTGGCCACATGGGCCTCTCCATAGTATAGCTGACCACATGGAGCCATTCTGATCGGTAATCCTTCTTGTAGAATCAAGCATTTTCCCCATCTTTGGAAGCTTTGGAGTCATTTTCTTTGTCCCCGCTACACTACAGTATCATAATGATGTGCATTGGTATGGGTGAGGATTGAGTGAATGTGAAAGGTCAGGGTAGGATGGTTAGAAAAACTCTGCTCTTAGAGGGTGTGCATGGAGGATGGCGAGCTGGAGAGGAGCTGGGAATAGAGGAGAACATTACATTAAACTCTGGAAGCCGGAAAGTCAGGGACATTACGGGCAGCGATCCTATCTTACCCAGTGTCTTCCCCAAGTTGAAGGCATTCCTCAAATGCCTTACCTAGGAGTCTCCAGTCTCCAGCAAAGTCTCCCATTCCCACCTCCTACTAAAGGTCAGGGGCACATTAAGCACTGTCACCCAGTAAGCCCAAATCCAGTGTTCTTGAACTAACCCAGCAACTCGGGTTGCTTAACCCCTGAATCTGGTACCTTCTTTGTTCCTCCTATAGCAATGTCTGGATGGGTTTTTAAAGTGAGATAGGACAGCCCTAGCCAGTTTTGCTCAGTGGTTAGAGCGTCAGCCTGCAGACTGAAGGGTCCCAGGTTGGATTCCAGTCAAGGGCACATGCCTGGGTTGTGGGCTTGATCCTCAGTGGGGGGTATGCAGGAGGCAGCCAATCGATGATTCTCTCACATCATTGTTGTTTTTCTCTCTCCCTCTCCCTTCCTCTCTGAAATCAATAAAAATATATTTTTAAAAAATAAAGTGAGGCAAGACAGATTATGAGGCAGTCAGACGATAGATGTGAAAGTACTTGATAAATTGCTAAACACTATACAAATTAAATTATTAGGTTGCTGCTATTTAAGAGAAACCAAACCAAACTTTCCAATTGTGTGAAAAATCTATACAAGTAGAATGGTATAAAGTACAAATCGACACTGCGTAGCCAACTGTAAGAAAACCACTTTCCTAGTATCAGCAGCCCCATATCTCAATGTTTTCAACTTTGCTAAAATAAAGTGTGTTAATTTGGGGACCGTCTCCATATGAGATTATGGTAATTTCCCTTTCCATTTCTCATGAACGAGTGCATCCTACAATTTGCTCTCTGTCTTCCTCCTTGTTCTTGAATTAGAAGGGTTATTCTTTCTTTTTTCCTCTGCCTTCCCTTTTTCCTGATGGTTGTGTGTACTCAGGATTTATTTTTTGGGCAAAGGCAGATGTTTTAGAAAACTAAACTCTGAGTTTCTTTGAATGACTTCCCTATTGATAAGGATAAATCATTGTGTTGGCTGTAAACAACTGCCAATGAATCTTTGGAACGATGATGCTGTGCAACCTGCTACCCAGCAAGGATCTGGACCTTTAAGAGTCGCTGTGTTGAGGAATAACCCACTGATACAGAGCAGACTTGCTTCTGTCATTGTTATGCTGCAAATGGAAGTGGTAAAAATAAGGAACTGGTTTTCTCTCTTCTATAGCCTTAGGGAGGGATTTATTGTGGACCTGGATTTGGAATATAAAAGCAACCTATGTAATGTAGAAACATTGGAAACACTCCAAAAGACAGTAGGACTTTATTAACATAGAAATGAGAAAAAGCAAATACGTAATGGAGCACCATACTGTTGTTATTGATTTCTTTTGTCTCTATCTAAAATATGTAAAACTGATAATTTCTTACTAGGTGCCTGTTTATACCAACAGTGAATTAAATGGGTTCTGTCTTAAATTGAATACTTTTTTAAAAAATATTTTTTTAAAATAAAATTCCGAGAGGGAGAGGGAGAGAAAGATAGAAACATCAGTGATGAGAGAGAATCATTCATCTGTTGCCTCCTGCACACCTCTTACTAAGGGGATCAATCCTGCTACCCGGGCATGTGCCCTGACCGGGACTCGAACTGTGACCTTGTGGTTCATAGGTCAGTGCTCAACCTCTGAGCCATGCTGCTGGGCATAAATGAAATACTTTTTAAACTATCAATAGTTGTTTTACTGGCTATTCTTTATTCTTCACTGTTCTACCTAATGTCCATAACAGGTTAGAAAATTGCAAATATTTTAAAGGGGAGTAAGCAATAATTTTTTAGTGTACTCAGAAGAAGCAAAGGATTTTTTCATGAATGTTGCCAAGATGGAAATGAATTAGGAAATAATTTGTTAAAGAAAACTTAAAGGTGCCCAAGGGGGATGAGTTGTGGATGGTATTTAAATGGATGGTATTTAAATAGAATGGGAAAGTTGCCTGAGTAATGATTCACCAATATTTATGGAGTGCTTAATATTCAGGTGAGTTACAAAACATATAAACTTCCATCAAGCTATAGAGCAGTGGTTCTCAACCTTCCTAATGCCGCGACCCTTTAATACAGTTCCTCATGTTGTGGTGACCCCCAATTTCATTGTTACAAATTGAACATAATTAAAGCATAGTGATTAATCACAAAAACATTATGTAATTATATATGTGTTTTCCGATGGTCTTAGGCGACCCCTGTGAAAAGGTCGTTCCACCCCAAAGGGGTCACGACCCACAGGTTGAGAACCGCTGCTATAGACAAATATTAAGGCCAGCACAACTGCTACCAAAAAATTAAGCAAATCAAATATTTGTATTTATAAATTATTTTATGAAAAATTAAAATTATAAAAGTAATAAAAGTTCTTCAAAAGATAAGGAAAACATATATACCCTGATAGAAAAATGGGCAAAGTACTCAAGCAAAAACATTATAAAACAAGAAATATAAAGAGCCAGTAAGTATATCTCAAAATATTCAGCCTCATTAAAAATTAAAGAACTGTAGGCCCTAACTGTAGGCTCAGTGGATAGAGCGTCAGCCTGCAGACTCAAGGGTCCCAGGTTCGATTCCAGTCAGGGGCATGTACCTTGGTTGTGGGCACATCCCCAGTAGGGTGTGTGCAGGAGGCAGCTGATCGATGTTTCTCTCTCATCAATGTTTCTAACTCTCTATCCCAATCCCTTCCTCTCTGTAAAAAAATCAATAAATATATTTTTTAAAAAATTAAAGAACTGTAAATGTAAGTAATAAATTGAGATTGGTAGTGGCTTAAAAAATAATACTCCTGAATGCAGAGGAACAGGCACTTATATACTACTGATGGGAATTTAAATTCTTATGACCATGTGGCAATAAATCAAGAGCCTTAAGAAAACAAATGTAACTTCTAATATAGCAGTTCTATTCCTAGGAGTTATCTTAAGGAAGTCATTTTTTTTAAATGAGCCCAAGAAGTTAATCAAACTTTTATAATACAGAAACATTAAAACACCCCAAAAGACAATATGGCTGTGTTATCATAGGAATGAGAAAAAGCAAATGATGGTACATCATGTGTGTGTGTCTGTGTATCTGAATACACTCAGGGGACGTCAGGGAGGTTATATGCACCACACTGTTAATGATTCTTTACTCTGGTTGGTTGAACAGCTGGTGACCTTAATTTTCTCTTTTTTGCTTATCAATATAATAAACATGTATTGTTTTTTGAAATAAGTTCTAAATAAAACCAATCTTGAGAATCAGAATAAGAGACAGTTGCTTACCATGTTCATTAAGAACGCATTTCCGCCGAACCGGTTTGGCTCAGTGGATAGAGCGTCGGCCTGCGGACTCAAGGGTCCCAGGTTCAATTCCGGTCAAGGGCATGTACCTTGGTTGCGGGCACATCCCCAGTAGGGGGGCGTGCAGGAGGCAGCTGATTGATCTCTCTCATCGATGTTTCTAACTCTCTATCCCTCTCCCTTCTTCTCTGTAAAAAAATCAATAAAATATATTTTTTTTAAAAAACGCATTTCCTTTACTTATTTAAACTTTAAGGAAGCCATGTGATCGTGATTAGGTTCTAGAACCTACAGAATTTGCCTTGAAAAGATTCATCCTCCCTCTCACTTGCTAGAAAGGCTAACTAACTGTAGACATGGTTGTTGTTGGTTTTTCCCCTTTATTTATTTATTTAATTTTTTTACAAGAGAACAGATCCATTTTATTTATTTATTTTTCAATAAGTGTAAATCCTTGGGGGGTACAGCATTACACAGATTCTATGTCCAGTGGCCTTAGCAGAAAGGTTGCTTTGGAATTTAGCGTGACCCATGCCACTGTTTCCATGAGCACGAGTTACCTTTACCCAGATTACTCTGGTTTTACTCCATTTGCTACCAGGAGTCACTGTGGTGTTCTTGCTTTGTACACATAACCACATCTCTTGCCTAAATAGAATTCAGTTTCATCTCAAGTATAAACACCTTCAATTTTTTGAAAAACATTTTTTTTATTATTGGTTTCAGAGAGAGAAAAGGAGAAGGAGAGGGAGATAGAAACATCAGTGATGAGAGAGAATCATTGATGCCTCCTGCATGCCCCCCACTAGGGACCAAGCCCACAACCCGGGCATGTACCCTGATTGGGAATCAAACTATGATCTCCTGGTTCATAGGTTGATACTCAACCACTGAGCCACGCAGGCTCAGACTAAACACCTTCAATTTTAAGAAGAGCTGTGTGCTCCCTCTGATTCTGGAAACCCCACTTATAGTCAGCAAAAATGGCCTTCCAGAGATATTTATTGTTACAGAAGTCCTGTTCTTAGCAGACTCTGTAGACTCCAAGATGGCAGAAAGAAGGCATATTTTTCTTTTAACTCTTAAAGAATTGTACATCTGTATAGTTGATAATTATAAGATATTATTAGTTTTGTAACAGATACAGATGAGCAGTTTGTGTTCATCTGTAGTTAATAACTTGGACTGAGAACTTCAGAAGCTTCTGGGAGAATCTGGATATTACAGGTTTTCATTTCCTTGATTCTTGTAACATTTTACCTTTTCTTTTGTTTCTGTTTAGGTTCTATCATAATGAATGGATCCAGTGTGGCAAATACATCACCCAATGTAAAATCCAAAGAGGACCAGGTGTTAAATGGGCACGATGAGAAAGAAAACCCGTTTGCAGAGTACATGTGGATGGAGAATGAAGAGGATTTTAACAGACAGGTAAAGAAAGAAGAGGAAGGACAATGATGTGTGTGACTCAGCAGCTATAATACTTTATTGTAGTTCTGTTACAAAAGAAATGGGTTCCTCGGCTTTAGAATAACTTAAAAATACGTGGAGGCCTAGTCTGAGCTGACCAGGAAACACCTTCAACTGGTAAAAGACCAGGTAGTACTTTGGAGGAAGAGCATGATATTTTTCTACCACATTAATTAGAAGAGGATCTAGTGCCATGGTGATCTGGTATAGACTTCTGAGAAACAGCAGATTTGTGCAGACAGGCCAGCCTGGCATGCCCCAGTCAAGAACCCAGGGACTGGCAGAATGTGAGCCTGAGATCGGTATGTGTGTAGTAGGGTGGGGGAAGGCTAGACGCTTCAACAAAGATTCAGCAGTGTCTTCTATCTCTGTAACGTTAATAGCCCAAGGTAAGCCATTCTAGGTAGACAGGTGGGGCCACATAGTTCCTTCCATGGTGTTGCTTTGCCACCTCCAGGGCACTTATCAGCTACTATTAAGTAACTGAAGGAAAACGGGAAGTCTAGCCGCTGGGAAAGGGAGAGAGTCAAAAGCCAAGGCAAGGGATCTTCTTTTCACCAAGTGATGCGAAGTGCTCCCATCCCTTGTGGGGACATCACTGGATAGTTATGTGGCCATGACTAGCACAGGAGATGGGAAATACGGTATTAACTGAGCAGCCTGTTGCTGAGGGAAGAAGAAAACAAGCTTTGGGGATACTGTCAGCAGTTTCCACTCCAAGTGGCTCACGGTGTCATGATTTGTGTGAGTAGCACATATATCATGCTTCGGTCTCACCCCTGTGCCCAGGTAACCGTTTTTGAGTGTTGTTCCTGTGGATAAGGATAAATTTAATAAGGGGAACACTTTGGGGGGAGTCAGGGCAGATCTTGAACAATTAGGTTAAATCTTGTGGCTTAGAAATATTTTGTAGTTATTGCTAAGTACTTCATAACTTTCTAATTTACTTGAATTTTTTTTTAAATGTTGTTAACTATAATGTTGAAATACTATTTTTGAGTCTTGCTATCAGTGACTTTTCCTTTGAATTCATGAGGTGTTAACTGTATTGGCTAGTTTGGGTGATGATTTTTGTTTGACTCCTCCCTGGCAGTGGCATGAGTGAGCTGTGAATCTGTTACCAGGCCAGCTGCAGGAGAAGAGATGGCCAAATGTGAGGCAGGAGGCCTGTTAAAATCACACAGTGTGCAGATTGAACTCTTTCATAAGAGTTAATAGTCAATGACTGTAAACAGGTATAAAATATCTTAGATACATATTGCTTTAGTTTAGGGCAATCTTTAAGAAATACGGACTTGTTTCAATATTCATAGTATTTTTCTTTTTATCTTCATCTGAGGACATGCTTTCATTGGTTTTGAGAGAGAGAAGAAGGGGGAGAGAGAGAGAGAAACATTGATCAGCTGCCTCCTGCGCATACCCTGACCGGGGATCAAACCCACAACTTGGGTATGTGCTTGGACCAGGAATCGAACCTGCAGCCTTTTGGTATATGGGATGATACTCCAACCCATTGAGCACACCGGCCAGGGCTCATATTGTTTCTTGTTTTGAAAGAATGTTACATTGACGAAATCATTTTCTATTGGTATGTCAAAAAGTGTTCTTTGTATTTTTCTAAGGTTCTGAAAGTATTTTTCACCCTTAAGGGCCTCATTACCAGAAAAGTGGGCCAGAAGCTGAGAGTTGGTTTTGACTTACTGTCTGCTGTCCAGGTAGTGGTCTAGTTACATAGTTCCTATACCTTTTTCATAGTTGTAAAATGGGAAATTTAGGAAAAGTTGCTTCTTAATAAGATTGAGAAAAGAATTTTAAGCTTTAAAAATGATTTTCGGGCCTTAGCTGGTTTACTCAGTGGATAGAGCATCAGCCTGCAGACTGAAGGATCCCAGGTTTGATTCTGGTCAAGGGCACATACCCGGTTTGCAGGCTCAATTCCCAATGGGGGGCATGCAGGAGGCAGCCAATCAATGATTCTCTGTCATCGTTGATGTTTTTATCTCTCCTTCCCTCTCCCTTCCTCTCTGAAATCAATAAAAAAATATTTTTACCAAAAAAAAAAAAGACTTTTGGTAAGTGCCATGTGAATGGAAAATGTCTGTGTCACATATTAGAGGTCTTAGATGATCTGTGAAGAATTTCTGCTATTTTGAATAACTATTTCTTTAGTCTTATTGTTAATGGAACTTAACAACTGAAAAATTTATATTCTGTCCAGCCAGTCATTAGAAGCATCTTAATTCTTAGTAGATCTCATGCAAGATCATTCTTAATCTTGGAGTAAACCTCTAACACAAAGAGGTAGATTAAACCTGGAAGGGACGAGTGCCTCTGGGAGGGTGAGTCTGAGCTTGCACCTTTGCCTGTCAGGTGGAGGAGGAGCTGCTGGAGCAGGACTTCTTGGACCGGTGCTTCCAGGAGATGCTGGACGAGGAAGACCAAGACTGGTTTATTCCATCGCGAGACCTGCCTCAGGCCATGGGACAGTTGCAACAACAGTTAAATGGACTATCTGTCAGCAATGGTCATGATTCTGAAGATATTTTGGTAAGAGCCATAAGTAGTTCCACATGTGACATAGTGAGAATATGGGATTTGTAGTCACAGTCTTACTTTCTGGCACTACTACCTTGGGCAAATCCCTGGAGCCCTCTAAGCCGCTATTCTTCACTTACCATGTGGGCATTAATAATTGGGTACATTGAAGATGCATTCACCTAATAAAGCATTGTGAAAACATCAATGTTACAGCATCACCAACTTTCATTTTTCCCAATGGGCTTTTCAAAATAGAATTGGGATTAAGCATAAAAATTTGAACATAGAAAAGGTGTTGTTTTTTTTAAAAGATATCTTTATTGATCTCAGAGGGGAAGGGAGAGGGAAAAAGAGAAACATCAATGATGAGAGAGAATTATTGATAGGCTGCCTCCTGCACATCCCCTACTGGGGATCGAGCCCACAATCCAGGCATGCGCTCTTGACTGGAATTGAACCCGGGACCCTTCAGTCCGCAGGCTGATGCTCTTTCCACTGAGCCAAACCAGCTAGGGCAAGATTTGGTTTTAAATTATAATTTGCTGCTGTTCTTTTCTTTTACTGTCCCTCAAATCTGCATTTGTAATTTTGAATGATGCTGTTATAAAAATTGTTCATTTTGGAAGGAACATATTCATTAGAGGCCATTTTCCACTTAAAATTAGAAGACTGGGTAAATAATTCCCTGCCTTCCATGTTTACCTATGGAATTCTGAGTGATTTAGTTCTCACACAACTCATGGTCTGAATGATTGTGCCCATAGTTTGCTAAGATTTGGGTATTCACAAGAGAGCAGAGAACCAAAGAGAGTACAGCAAGATGAAAAAAGATATATGTGCATAGGGATTGTGGTAATCAAACTGGTTTGATGGAGTTCGCTGATGTTCATCAGATTAGGGTGCTCAATGAGTTGAATTATTTTTGGAGTCAAACTTATAAGCCCCTAATGAAAGCATCATAAAGGGAGCAGAAATCTGAAGCAGGAAGGAGACAGTGCGGTTGGTCAGGGCTTAGTATGTCAGGGGCCCATTGAGACCAGCCCAGCAGTAATGGGCTGAGTTGCAGGAATTCTGTTTTTTTCTCTCGAGGCTGAGGGGAAGGTACTGGTAATAATGGAAACAGGGAGAAAATAAGTTTTAAAGTACAGTTTGCCGTGGGATTTATTATCTCTTGGTTCTTATTTCAGAGCAAAAGTAACCTGAACCCGGATGCCAAGGAATTTATTCCAGGAGTGAAGTACTGAGCTGACAGAAACTTTGAGGAGGACTTGTATGTCCCCACATCTGGGGACAGTGCCGCACAAAAAGGCAGAGCTGAAGGGGGGGTGGGGTGGGCTAGGGATGCACAGTGGGGGAAGGGAATAGTAGTTTAACTTAACACTGTGACTGGAGTAGCTAAACGTGCTCAGTCTTACTCTACAAGCCTCTGAGTATTTCTCTTTTGTTCTACTGACTTTCCTTTTGAGCAGTTTATTATTATTATTATCATTATTAGGTTTTGCCTTTTTGAGTTAAGGAAATTATTGCAATTCTTCACCTTCATCAGGAATGTTCTGCAATGTGAGTTTAAACAGAATAAGCTGACCAAGAAAATCTGGGTGTTTACACGAATGCCCTCTCACCCTGCTGTATGTTGCAAGGGCAGTGAGCACCTAGAAAACTACTGAGTCTGTTAAGCTGGATGGGAAGAGGGATGAGTGGAAGAAGCAGGTGTTTTAAACCAGCCTTTGCAACTATGCGACCCCTGAGGGCTTTCTGCAATGAACTGGGATTACCAATTGCCTGCTGAGCCCATGTCTTCCTGCCTTGAACCTCCATTCAAGAAAACACGGACTTAAAATATTGGTTTACAGTAACTCTTTTGATGTTGATGAAAGTTGTAAATTCAAGGGGAAAACTGTGATGGTTATTGCCATTTGAGTCATACAGTTACGGTTGGCCTACTCTTAAGCCTCTGTTTACAGCTACCATCAAACTCATCATTTACAAGGTACAGGAGCACTTGGGTAGATTTGCCTTTTTGTCTTTCATGGTATCTAGTCCCATATTCCTTTCTACCCCCACCCTACTCTGATTTTAAGAAAAGATATTATTACCAAAGGTGTGTGAAAGGCATGCTATGCTGGCCATCAGCTTCAGCCTGGAGAAGCCATCCTTGAATCCTGTTAGTGTGTGTGTCTTAAGTTTATTTTGACAGTTGTTTTTCCCAGCCCATGAAGACTCAGTCCTTTTGGTATATTACTTTCCTTGGAAAGGTTTATGCACTTTTATAAGTAAATATATTTTTAGGACACTAGCAAGAAGCTCAGTTCACAATTTTGATGCTTCTCCCACTTTACAGAATTATGCAAAAGAACTAAAAAAAAAAAAGCCTAATAGAGTGAGTCCTACTTGACCCAGGTGACTGTGTGACCCACTGGGATAGTTTCAGCAATTATAAAATTTTGCTGTTCCTAAGTTTTGTAGGTTGGGCCTCTGGGCACATTCCTTTCGTCTTTCCTGCCTATAAGTCACAGGGTTTTTTTTCTGATACTCATAGGGAACTAAACTGGGTACCAGGTGCTGCCTTTGTGTGACAGAGATGTAGGTGGCGGTCAGTTCTAAAAGAGAGTGCGTCAATTCCTGGCCATTCTCCCAGGATGAGGACTTCCAGGGCCTGGAGGACGGTGGCTTCTGTGTGACTGTTCCTGTGTTGTGGATAGACATACAGTGGGGCCTTGACTTACGAGTTTAATTCGTTCCGAGACCGAGCTCTTAACTCAAATTACTCTATCAACTCAATGCAAAAAATCGGCCGAGAGACAGCTGGTATCTCAAAAAACTCGTTAGTCGGGACACTCGTAAGTCAAGGCCCCACTGTATCAGGAAAAGATCTTATAACTTGAAATAAAGTCTGTGCAAAATCAGTATGTGGATGTGGGAGAGAGGTTGGAAGGAAAGGACTAGGATCTGGAAAGCTTAAGAACTTCTCCTTTTTCTTATGAGTTCCTTGTTGATGTTATGAACAGCCACAGTCTAAGGTCAGATTTAAAATACAAACCCACAGCGTTTTTTTATATGAGTCTATTGGACGGCATTATTTGAACTGGCCTTCCTTGTTAGATCACATATCATAGGGAGCTTGTATTGCCAGACGTGCACATTCATTCCCAAAGCCTTTACCTCAAAAGAATGGAACTCTCACTTGTTTTCTAGGGAGGTGTATGGACAAAGGAATTTCTTGATTACAGCTTCAGCTTCCAACTGGGGTTGTTGCCTGTAACAAGGAGAGGGCCGTGGAAGTGCACAATTAGAAGTCTCTCTCTTTTCTGGGGCCGCTTTTCTTTCATCTCCAGTAGCTTGTCCAAGCTCAGAATTATAAAGGCTGTTGGAAATGTTGTGTGATAGACATATCAGGAAAAGATCTTGTAACCTGAAATAAAGTCTGTGCAAATTAAGTATGTGGATGTGGGAGAGAGGTTGGTAGGAAAGATTGTGATTGCAGAAAGAGACATTTTCTAGATCTGGGTATTGCTGTCACAGAGTACAATGGGTTCTTGTGTGCTCCAGTCAGGAAAGTGCTACCGGGATCCAGATCGAGCCATTTCTTATCCTGAAGGCTAGCTCTTCTGACGCCAGGACAGGCTATAATGCTAGGTGCAGTCCAAAGGGCTTGTCTTTCCGTCTGGGGCTCCACTTTGGATGTCAGTCTTCAGTGTACTGTCACAAGGCATATTTAGGCAGGACTACGAAATGTTCCTGCCAAGTGAGCAGTGAACCTGAGGACTGGATTTTCCAGAGTGTGCTGACTCCAGGATCAGAAAGCAGCTCGCAATACGACCCCTTTTTAAATGTTTAGGCTGATGCTTCCAGTGGCTCCTCTTATAGCTCAACTCTTCATCTGTTTTGTTGTGAGGTGGGAGCACAGCTGTTACCCAGATCACAGGCTCAGCTATAGTTAGTGTTTGCCAGTTTCTTAGCAAAAAAGGCATTTGGGTCTCGTTGGACCTTGACCGGGAAAGGCTGGGAGCCTCTGTCTCATAGGAGAGGGTCTGGGTGCCAGCCAGGCTGCACACCGTTACCCTTTAATGGTGGGCTGTTATTTATAAGTGATCACTTTGATGTTGAATTTCAGTCATTATTCTGTCGAAACTTTTTTTTATTGGCAACTGGAAGTTTGAGAATTTTTATAGAAACAGAACATACATTTTTACCGGTTGCCAATTCTGGTTGGTCTCAGTGTTAGTTTATTAGTGATTACTTTCTGATTTTTGTGGTTATTGAACTCTAAAACTCCAAGATGAAAATTTATTTCTTGCTCTTCAAGGAGAAAAACATAAAAATAAAGGAAATGCCTTTTCAGTTTCTCCAGGCCATAGATCTACAGCAGAAAACTTGATGGGCACAGCCTAGGCCTAAGCACCTGCAACTTTGGGTCTTTGGGCCAGTTTCTGCTTACAGCAGATGATTTTTTTGGGGGTTATATTAGGTCAAATAAAACAAAATCATAAAAGGCTGAACCTTTGAAGCACCTCGGTTTCCAAAGTTAAAATAGCTGGGATCTTTTAAATTCAGGTTCTAATGCTAACTCTATGGCTTAAAAATGTTTTTAGTGAAATACTAAACATTTTTCAAATTGTGTATTGTTACAATGTCAACGTTTTGTCTTGATTTCGGAGAGGCTTAGAAGTAAGGGGGTCAGTTGGATACTCTGGCAATGATATGTCAGAGAGGAAAGTCGTTTGAAGTAGCCAAAGGAAATAGCTTGACTGAATCTTCTTATATTAGTGCTGTTGCAAACACTGTAGAAACATTAGGAGCCCAGGAATCTACCTGCTTGATTGGAAGGGGCAAGTGGTCTTCGATAAGGGTACCAGCAAATTAATGTTCCTTGGTTTAGGTGATGCTGAGGTATGGGAACAGGCAGAAGAGACCAGACATTTAACTAAGATTTGGAGATACCCCCCAGCACTCTCCTTGGGGATAATGCAAACCTCATTTGTTTAGGAGGGGGGTGGGAAGAACTGGAGAGGTGACCCAGGCCTGCTGTACACTGGGAACCTTCATTTCCTCCTACCTCTGCTTGCAGTTCCCAAGTGAATCATTGCCCCCTCGTTGCCCATGGGGATCCTTAGTTCTTCTGGTCCCTCTGCCTTTGTAGTTCACAGAGTACTTTCTTCAGCCACTGCTCTGTCGTGTGAATTTCATTCAGACTTGGTTAGTCACAATTTTGAAAGCCACCCCCCCCTTGCTTTTAATCTTCTGTTTTTATTTCTCCCATCTTGCAGCTATAATTGGTGACAAGGAACAGGGCAGTAGGAGGCTGACTGAAGGCAACACTCAGGTTTTTTGCTTGCTACTTGACCTTCTGCCTACCCGCCTACTCTTGTCTCTCTCCCCCCCACCCGCCCCTGCCCGTCAGTCTAGTTTTTATGGGAGTCCTAGGAAGAGGACAGCCAAGTACACTGAATTCCACAAGGTGTCAGCCAAGAGTCACCACCCCACCCCATGGGATAAAAAAGAAATCTGCAAAGGGACAGATGCACCATCTTTATTCTAAAAGAAAAAGCCCTCTTAGATTTTGTTATTACTAGGAGGCTCATTTTTGGGACTACTACTTACAGGTGACCTTTTATTTTATAATGAAGAAACATCCTAGGCAGTTTACCATAAAATGGTACAGTGTTTTCACTCTGAACTCAACACTAGTGATCATCCAGCCCTTGATTGTGAACCTCAGGAATGTTTAGTGCTTGATGGGTTGTTCGGGAGGCAGGGTTGTTTAAAAAAATTGAGGCATATTTTACATATAATAAATCCACCCATTTCAAGTGTTAAATTGAATGATTTTAGTAACTTTCCTGAGTGGCACAGCCATACCCGTAACTGTTTTAGAACATTTTCATCCACCCCAATAAGATCCTTCATTTATTGCACAGTAATCCCTGTTCCCAGCTCTAAGTGACACTAATTTCCATCTCTATAAACTTGCCTTTTCTGGACATCATGTCAATGGAATCATACAAAATCTGTTCTCTTGCCTCTGGCTTTTTTCACTTAGCATATTTTGTGGTTTATCCATGATGTTTAACTTGTGTTGGTAGTTTGTCCCTTTTTATTGCTATAGTATTCCATTGATAGATATACCACATTTTGTCAGCAAGGAGTCCTTGAAACTTGGATTTCCACCTCCCGTGGTCTAAAGGAACCCTTAGAACATAGGACTCTAGGGGAAGGTGCTCTTCACGTCAAAGGATTGCTTATCAGAACCAGCTTTGTTACCAGAAGCTCGAGATGTTAGGAGCCTGAACTGCTGCAGAAATTTTTATAGTTTTGCAACTTTTTTATAAGAAACTCTTTTGCTATCTACATGTCAGTACTTTTGAAGCATCTGGTAATTAATTTATTCCGAAGTAGGAGTATGTGTTTGAGTGGACAAGAAAGTGAACCATCAGTAATACTGTGTTGGAGATTTTTTTCCTCCCCAACTGGGTAGGGGAGTCTCTGAAATTTCTAAATAGTATCATCTCCATGACAAGGTGGAACCTTTGTTCAAGATCATGCTGCCTTTGTTGGACAGATTTTGGGGAGAGGAGGACCACCATCAGAGGAGGTGCAGAGGAGAAAGTGCAGCGTGTGGAACAAGAAGCCCAGAGATCTGTGCATGCCCCCCCTCTTGGTGTGGGTGGTGAAGCGTTGATGGTGTCCACAGGCAGCTTAGCACCTCCAGCAGGCCCGGGTCTTGACTTTGGACCTTGATCCCTGTTTCAAAGTGTTTAAAAGCTGTTTTTGTCTCCCCCCCATAAACATTTCATGGTGGTTAATACTTCTTTGGGGGAGAAGCAGGGCTTTAAAATAAATAATTTTCATAAAAGTATCAAAAATAGGAAAAAAGTTACTTTAAAAATTTTGCTATACAAACCAAATGGCAGCTGTTGAAAATATTAATAAAATGAGAAAAAAATGCATTTTCTGGCAGTGGAACTCTTTTTCCTAAGGTTGGGTCATTATATAATCGCACTATACAGGTGGTGGTATATTGTGTGTGTTTGCGAGAGATTTTTTTGTCTCAAGATTGATCATAGTTTTAGTTGTATAATTTTCCATTCCAAATAGTGTTATAATATTAAGCATTGCCCTGTGTGAATGCCACCTTCTCCACTTCCTTTGTGTTTTCGGCCTGAACTTGTTTATAAAGCTGACACACCTCCTTCCTAGGGCCAATTGACAATTAGACTAAATTTAATTTCAAAATACTTCCTTAATATATGGTAGCAATAGTGGTAATACTATGTACAGCTCTGAACAAACAAATTGTAACAGAAAACCTTGGGTTTGAAGGGAAACTGGATAGCTGTTATTTTTCCTGTTTCTGGGCAAAACTGACTCTTATCTAGAAAATAAGGATTCTGTATCTGCCTTTCAAATATTGAACAAGTTTGAGAGCCTGCTAGGTCCCAAGCACTGTCCTAGGTGCCAGTGCTACTGTGGTAACAACCTATGTGCTGGCACTAAAAAAAATAAAAAAATAAATTTTAAAAAATCAGTCATGAGGTGCTCATTGCTCTGCTCTAAATCCTCATTGTCCAGTTGGAATAGCAGAGCCTAGACAGTGGTAAGAAAGATAAAGCTTCTATTTTAAACTCTTCACCAATAAAGTTTTAGATTCTAAATCTAAAATACTGCTTGATCTTGACATGTAAAAATGTTCTTCAAAGCTCACTGCTCATTAACAGTGTTACTAGGTCAAAGAGATATAGCAAAGGCATCTCCAGTGTGTCCCTATTCTCTTTGCCAGCTCTTTACCAGGTGATGTATTAGACTTGCTGAGAGCTGGACCCCAGTGTGTTGGGCCACAGCTAGATACAAAGATGTCTGGCTGTCCCTTCGGAAGGGACTTGGCTTGAGTTCTCATTGCTCAAAGCTCCACCTTACTATGTTGGGCAAGACCTGTTGGAATGAGAACTGCTGCCATTCTCTTACACACTATGAAATAAGTGTCATCTGACTTGGGAAACAAATATCAAGTCCCCTTCCAGGACCTAATCAGAATTCAAAAGCTGTAGGGTAGCGCTCCCTCAAATGCAGATCCTGGACCTCTGCAGCAGAAATGACAAAAGGTGTTCAGAGTAAAGGAAAATTCCCTATCTCACCCTAGCTGGTTTGAGCATCGGCCTGTGGACTAAAGGGTCCCAGGTTCAATTCTGGTCAAGGGCACATACCTTGTTTGCAGGCTCCTCCCCAGCCCAGGCCCTGGTAGGGGGCGTGCAGGAGGCAACCAATTGATGTGTTTCTTTCACATTGATGTTTCTGTCTTTCCCTCTTCTACTCTTCCTAAATAAAAATCAATGGAAAAATATCCTTGGGTGAGGATTAACAAAAAAAATTTAAAAAATAGAAAATTCCCTATCTGATCTTTGACCTATTGAATCAGATACCTTATAGAGGGGTAAGAAAACAGAAATCTGGGTTTAAAACAAGTTCTAGAATAACTGCTACATTAAGTTTGAGAACTGATATCCAGGATATAATCCATGCCTTCTAACAGCTTACACTCTCAACACCTAGAGAGGTAGCCACTATTAATCAAGGACTTCAGCCTTCACTAAGCAGTATGGTCAGCAGAACAGGAAACTTTGGGCTTGTCAAACTACATTATCCAAAGGACAGGAATCCTGTCTCCTCTGCACTGATGTTCACCTTTCCCAGTGCTACACAACAGATGCAAAGTGTTGTGCTGTAACCAGAGCCAGGCTATCCCAGAATAGGTAGGCACCTAGTTAAATTGTATCTAGTTGACCTTGGATCTCAGCCATCCTCATAACCTCTCAAAGGACTCACTTCCGCAGAAAACTGCAAAATGTGCTGCTCACCCCTAAGTACCAATCCTCCCAGATGAGATTTGCATCCTGTCCCCTAAATTCTATGTGGCACTCTCAGGAGAGGGTGTGGTATGTCGAAGGTCATTCCCGGTGATGTTTTGCATGGAGAACATTTAGTTCCACTGAAATGCTCTGGCAGAGATCATTACCCACTTTGACAGAAAATTGAGGACACAGGTTAACCGGCAGCAGCATCAGGAGTATGCTAACACTGGGGGAGGGGTGGCACACAGATAAACTGTAAGTCCAACTGCAGGCCAAGCACCTGGGGGTGGGGCTTTAAACCCTGGGCTAAACCCATTCCCGAGCCCTCTGGGCCACCTGCAGGCAGGTGCACTGAATGTACATAGCAAGTGTGCTTCACAACACAATCCAACTGGGGAGTGGGTAAAGTGCATTTATTTTCTGTTTTTCCTTTGGAAAAAAAAAAAAGGAAAAGGAAAAAAAATCCCCCTCCCTCCCAGCACCCATTGTCCACTGGCCACGGCGGGGGTGGAGCCAGGGCCAGCCCCCTAGGAGAAGGTATAAGAGTAGAAGGCAACGGCATTGACACTGTAGTCCAAGGGGAGGAGGTGCCCGATGTGCCTGGCCCCGAGGCTGGCCCCGCCCAGGGCAGAGGAGTGATTGAGCTTCATCAGGGTGAAGCTGGAGAAGGAGTTCTGAGCCTGGATCTCTCTGCCCTGGGTCAGCGCCAACAGGAAACCTGGAGGAAAAGAGGGCAGAGGACAGATGAAGGCTGAGGGCTGGAGCTGAGGCATCAGTGGCCTCAGGTCCCAAGTCCTCCCTGGAGCAGAGAGCTTTCCTGAGCCACCTCTTCCCGCACCATCCCTCACCCTTGACCCCCCCAAACCCCTCCCCCCAATCCCCAACACACACTCACCTTCCTTCAGCAGCTCCCAGCTCTTCCACACAGAGCCCACACACAGGATGGGGAGGCCAATCTCCCCTTTGAACAAGACCTGGCCAGAGAGCAGAAATGGACAGTGGGGGTGACCAAGTCTCCGATGCTGAAGGGGATAATCTTAAAACCAGCGCTCCCTATCCCATGTGCACGCCACTAGTTGAGAACCAGTGGTGAACTCAAGGGGGAAAGAAAGGGGGAAGGGGAGGAAAATAGGGAGATTCACAAAGGCAAGGGGGAGAGGGGAAAGGAAAAAGCATTGAGCAGCAACAGAGGAAGGAGCAAGAAGAGAGGGAAATGGGCAGAAACATGACTGAAAGGGGGGAGCCCGTTACCACATTGAACCAATGCACGACATATAAAGAAAGATCACGGACCAGCCACAGGCAGGAGGCACTGGACCAAAGAACTTTTTTGTGTCATAGACATTCTACAAAATTTTTCTCAAACCCAAGTTTTCATTTATTTTTATTTTTATTTTTTTTAAATATATTTTATTGATTTTTTACAGAGAGGAAGGGAGAGAGATAGAGAGTCAGAAACATCGATGAGAGAGAAACATCGATCAGCTGCCTCCTGCACACCTCCTACTGGGGATGTGCCCGCAACCCAGGTACATGCCCTTGACCGGAATCGAACCTGGGACCTTTCAGTCCGCAGGCCGATGCTCTATCCACTGAGCCAAACCGGTTTCGGCCCCAAGTTTTCATTTAAAATCATATCCAATTTACAGAGTTCGATGGGACTGTCTCACCCCTCGTGGGAAAGGGCCAAACCTGGCCCAGCAGCTCCCACCTCAACTCACCGGGTCAATCTCAGGCAACACCGCCACCACGTGCCTGCCCAGCATCTCCCCAGCCTTCCTGAAGATGTACCGGGAGAGGGGGTCTCCCTGCTGAGCACCTGGGGGAGGGGAGGAGGGGGGAGCGGTGAGTTCCCAGGGAGCTGCCAGTGCTCAGTTCCCGCTCTCTGGTGCAGGGCAGCGACAGCTAGGAATGATGCCCACCTCAGGGCATGTAGGCAAGTCAGCCTCCAAAGCTGCCACTCCACCCTTACTTCCCCCACCCCTACCAGGCCCTTCTCCCTAGGAAGGGTGTCCTGGATGGAGGTGGCTCGTTCTAGGCACTTGAGAAGGGAAGCCCTCCACTAGAGAAGCACCCTGGCACCGGGCTCACACTCCGGCTTACATGGAGTTATGGAGTCTGTCCCAGAAGGTCTCGGCTCTGGGGACCCAGGACTCTACTTGAGCAGCTGGCTGGTGCTCCTGTCAGGGCCCCCACCCTCCTTCTACAGTCTGCTATTGGTCAGCTCCTTCCCAGCTCTGTTCTGAAGGGGCCTCCTGCCAGCAGGATCCTCCAATGCCCTGAGGCTGCAGGAATCCAAGTTAAGGAAGTGTGGACCGTACAGTGGAGAAAGAGTGGCGTGCAGACAAGTAAGCCCTATGGTTCAGCTACTCCTGACACCCAACCAAACGTGCCTAACCGCTCCAGGATCCTCTAGTTCTTTGGGTATCTTGGTTTTAAAAAAGTTACAGATTTGCCCAAAGGACAAGTGCTTCATAAATTTCTCAGAAACGGACATACAGCCTGCACAAGCCACGATAGCTGCCAAGAGAAACAGGTAGCATAAAACAGCTGTCAGTACAACTGTGTGTCCCGCCTCACCCCAAGGCCCATGGTGGCAGAGAACTGAGGCCACTTGGACAAAGGGAGATCAAACTGGCTGCCAGTCCCCATCTTAACCTTCCTCCACTACGGCCCCCTTCCCACCTAGGGAACAAACCTGCCCCCCCTCCAGTACCTTCTGCAATTTTCCGGCAAAACCCAGCAAACCTGGATTTATCAAAGTCCCTATACAGGTGTACGAGGATTCCTAGCCGGTCTGGCACCTGAGAGGCAGAGAAAAGGTACAAGATAGTTGTCAGAAGCAAAGGAAAATCCTCAGTCTGCCCATCCAAGGTGACCTTCCTCATGTCTCTACTGATTGAAAAGGTGGAACCTTTGTTCTTTTAAGCTCTAGAGCAGTGGTTCTCAACCTTCCTAATGCCGCGACCCTTTAATACAGTTCCTCATGTTGTGGTGACCCCAATTTCATTGTTACAAATTGAACATAATTAAAGCATAGTGATTAATCACAAAAACAATACGTAATTATATGTGTTTTCCGATGGTCTTAGGCGACCCCTGTGAAAGGGTCGTTTGACCCCCCAAGGGGTCGCGACCCACAGATTGAGAACCGCTGCTCTATAGAGAATGCAAGGATTTGAGATTTCTCACTTAAGAAAAGTTCTTTGTTCTCCCAACACAAGCTCCATTGCTCCTTACAGATTAGTTTGGACAGAGCACAGATCTGTGCTCACCAAAGTGTGTTCTGTAGCTCCCTGAGGTGCTCGTGAACAGATTTATTTGATCAAAGGACTCTAAAGACTACTGCACACTGTAACCCTCCCTTAGACATTCACAGTGCACATTAGCAAGTTAAAGGCTCTGAGAAGTCCTGAACCAAGAAATCTATTTGTTTCCCCCAAACTTATTTGGCCACGGAAGTCCTTCTTCTATCCCAACAAACTCAACAAACCAGTAATACCTCTGAAGGTCCTGAGGAACCAGTGATTCCCCAGATAGAAGGTTTAAAATTTGAGCTCCTACAGCAATGTATTACTATTATAAAGACTACTTATTTACTCTCTACAATGACCTTATAAAAATGACCAAAGGATAAGAGAGGGAGTGGTAGATATATCACTGGGATTTAGAACCAGTTGCTGAGTCAGCATACCTTATCTCCACTTCCTATAGCACAGTGGTTCTCAACCTTCTGGCCCTTTAAATACAGTTCCTCATGTTGTGACCCAACCATAAAATTATTTTCATTGCTACTTCATAACTGTAATGTTGCTACTGTTATGAATCGTAATGTAAATATCTGATATGCAGGATGGTCTTAGGCGACCCCTGTGAAAGGGTCGTTCGACCGCCAAAGGGGTCGAGACCCACAGGTTATGAACTGCTGCTATAGCAGTTGCTATTCCTATTCCTCAGCTTGGCCCAGGCCAGTTTCTCTATAATCATCAACCTATGAGTCTTGAAAATACAGGGCCTACCTCCTATATTTCTAATCTCTTTCCCAGACCCCATCCCCAGCTCACCTAAGTGGCCCTCACTCAGAGAGATGTCTATTACATCTGTATTCTCTTCCTTCTCCTCTTCCCACCTTTTACCTCTGGCTCAGATAAACTCAGCTATTTCCAAACCCACTACAAATAAGCACAGCTGAGGAAAATCAATCCCCGATAGCCTGGGTAGGAGGCCACACCTCCCTGAGAACTCTCCCAGTCCACCTCCTAATGCCTCTCCTCCCTGACCCACACAGGCCGCAACAGCTCGCTGTCTAACGTATCTGTTCGGACTTTACCCCCGTCTCCGTCTGTGAGCACTGTTTCCTGATCTCACTCTGCACTCCTCATTCCAGCTTAGAATGTCATCTGCCTTCACTACCTGCCCAAGAATGAAGTGTGGCTAACCACCCATCCCTAACCTTCTCCTCCCTCATGCCTGATACCCTCCTGGAATGTACATACCGCCATATTGATCCAAATCCTTTCCTCACCTATGACTTCTCTATCCTCTAGCTCTGACCCACGACTCACCCCGACTTTCCTTTGGCTCACCCAGTCCCTCTCTTGCATCACTCCTGCTCAGTCTCCCACTGCCCTACCCCAGGTGTGCGTGTGTACCAGGGGCAGGGGGCGTACCTGGAAGTAGCTGAACATGGCCTGTTTGACGTAGCCAATGTCATGAGGAGCTGCCTCCAGGTTGTCGATGGAGTCGAACACTATTTTCACTGCCTGGTGTGCAATCCAGTAGGCTGTGGAGAGCAGAGAGGGCTAGAAGAGGGGGCAAGCTCCCCAAGCTCACAGGGAAGGGACCTCAGACCTAGACAGGCTGAGCAGTCAGCATGGATACTATAGCAAGCTAGGCGCCCCGATTCCCAGACAGGTGGCCTCTAATTGAACTGCATCTGACGGATCACATAAGGGAAAGCTGGAGGGGGAAGACAGAACAGGTGACGCTGTGTCACACCAGCTGCTAGGAACTGGACCTCAAGGGCCCCTATGAAAACCTACACCTGCTGCCTATAAAGATATGATAGCGGGAGAAGCTTCTATATCCCCTTCCCATTAGCAGACGAGCAGAGCATCTCCTGGCTTCCTTGGCCTTAACCTTCCTAGTGTCCATTCCTCCCCAGGGCTCCAAAGCCAACACACGTAGTCAACAGCTATTATGCTGAGGCATGAACCTGAATCCGGGGTGCATATCACTGCTGAAGAGCAAGGCAGCCGCTTGTCCAGCATTTGCATCTCTACGCTCTCTCGGTCACTGTTTTGTACTCAGGACCATCGACTCAGGAGCTGTCCCCAGAAAGCCCCAAGGGGTCAGCAGGTTGAAGGCAAGAGAGAAGACTGAAGAGCTGCAGGCAGGGAAGGTCCAGGACCCTGAGCCAGGCCCAGTCGGTGAGAGCTCACCTGAGCCCTCGTCCCCCATCATGTGGCCCCAGCCGCCGCAGCCACTCTCAGAGCCATCTGGGTTGATGAGCCTGCAGTTGGAGCCTGTCCCAGAGATGAGCACGATCCCACCTGGGGAAAGGGCACAGGGGGCTCAGTGTGGCCAACGCACTGCACACAGCAAGTGCACAGCTTCCAACTGAAGAAAGGACAAACACCAGCCCGGGCCAGGGATCGCCACCCAGCCTTGCAGAGAAAACTGAGCTAGTTTCCTGCTAAGGTGGGGGACCGCTCTCAGAGCAACTCCAGTCACATACAGCCCTTCTCTGGGGACAGAGAGAATAGGAGCCTGTGTCCCCTTGCCCAGCCAGCTTTCCAGTGACTACCTGCTTTACTGAGTACCTACTATATGCCAGGGATGGTGCTGGATCCTATTCACAGTAATACTCAATAGCCTACACCACCCTATCAATATGCCAATCTTGTGGTACCAATGCTTTTTACACTCCTATCAGAGCTCCTCTTCCTTTTTCTCAGCATTTACTGCTTTCCTCAGCCAGCCTCAGGACCTGCTTCCTTTGGGATGGAGTCTTATGTCTTGTTTCTCATCAAGATACCCTCTTGCCCTCCCTCCTGTCCAGTCTTTGCACTGGCAGGGACTTAAGCTAATTAAAGGGGGATGGGATATGATGGAGGTTGCCTTCCAGATATTTGCAAGACCAATTCTCCCAGCTACATCTAACAAGCTTTCCCAAGAAAAAGTTCTCAACCTCACCCCTCCCTCCACCTCCTCACCATCCGGCGTAGCTGTGGCGATGGAGCCAGCGGCATCGGTGGTGATTACGTAGCTTTCGCTCAGGTAGGGAAATCGGTCCCTCAGCTCCTCCATCAGGATCCTCACCGCATCCTCCTGCTCCCCACCGCTCAGGGACAGGCCCTAGGCCACGGGGGAGGCGAGCAGGCAAGCAAGATGTAGACCCAGCTCCTTTCTCAACCCCCACCCCTCCTGCTACCTGCCCCCTGCTCTCTACACCTGGGCCCTGCTTCTCCAGCCCCAGTCTTCCTTCCACCCCACATGCTAACCCCTTGGAAGATTGTGGCTGTAGGAAGAACCTGGACAGGAAATGGACTGGGGATTCAATGATGCCAAGTTTGGAGCTTAGGATGACAACAGTGCCCTTAACAGAAAAATTAGGCAGAGGAGCAGGTTGAGGAGAGACAAGCTTGGTCGGGAATACATGGGGTTGGGCTGTGCCTGCAGAACATCTCACTGAGGACGTGTCCAGGGAGAAGCCAAGGCTACAGCAACTTGGGAGAGAGGCCTGAGCTGGGAAGAAGCGCTCACTTAGTAAATGCTCATGGGGCAGGGTCTCTGCTAACCACTTCAGAGTGTGTCATGTCATTTTACTTCCCCAGCAACTCTGAGGCAGCTCCTGTCATCTGCACTTTCCAAACGAGGAAAAGGAGGGTCACAGAGATGCTGAGTGACACACCAAGGTCGCAGTGGCTCCCCAAAGCCCGGTGCTCTTCCAATCGTTATGGCTTGTAGATGACAACTGAAGCCACAAGAATAGGTGAGCTCGTGCGAGTTTCTAGACCAGAGAATAAGCCTCCAAGGTCTTTACCTCTGCAGTCAAGGTCATCGGACTCATCTACCTCAAACGCGCTTCCTCAGTGTTGCTGTGACTCATCTCCCAGGCTCTACCCCAGACTCACCAAGCTTCGTAGAGGCACCAGCGGATCCACTCCTGCTTTCTGCTTGGCCCTGCTCACCATCTCGTTGATCCTCTCCACACACTTGTCTGTCCCGATCAGCTGGCCCCAGTCAAGGGAAGAAGGAGGAGTTACAGAGGCCTGCACACCTGTGCTGCCCCTACAGGCTGCTACCCCTGACCAGGAGTTACAGGGAATAAAACCACAACCAAGCCCCTCAGTGTGGCCTTTACCCAGTGGTTTGTGCTGAGTCCATCCGCTTCTGCCAGGATCTGCCCATCCTCTGAGAGTAAAAGGACCTTGGACTGTGTTCCTCCCCTACAGAACACAAGTCTTGCTCAGAAAAACCCCAAGGTACAGCTAAGCTTGTGCAGTCGCTGTCACAGAGCCAGTGTGATAGAGACTGCTTCAGTAAACCCAGTCACCATCCCCAAACCCACCCCCATGGTTTGGTGGCTGTTTGTGCTCCTGGTCCTGCTCAGCTTCCGCTGGGGATATCCTACTTATCCTGCAAGGCCCTACTTATACATCAGCTAGTCCTTGAAACCTCTGGCGTGTGGCGCACTCACACAGCTCCATTAGCTAAGGCAAGTCAGTGCCTCCATAACTTTTAAGGATTCCTCTGTATTGAGTGTATTCAGTGTTTTTCTGTCTGCCCCTCACTAGCCCACAAGTTCTTAGATCATTTATCCTCACCCCTAGCACAGGCAACACTCACTAAATGTGACGAAAGAGAATGGCACATCTCTCTGCTTCTCACAAAAGCTAAAGGCGGCCTGTCAAGATCCAGCCCCAGCTGCCAAGGTCTTGAAGACACCCTGGTGAGAAACACTGACCAGGTGGCAGCGAGTTTATACCCACGGAAGCAACTAAACCAGTGATTCCCAAAGTGGGCGCTGCAGCGATCCAGGGGGGCGGTGATGGCCACAGGTGCATTTGGGGGCGATGAGTAACTGCTATTAAAATTTTTAAAAAAATTAATTTCCAGGGGCTGAGTAATATTTTTTCTGGAAAGGGGCGGTAGGCCAAATAAGTTTAGGAACCGCTGAACTAAACGGTCAAATGCTTACTCCTGGGGGAAATGGAAGTTTGGAGGGAGGTCTGTGGTGGTGAGATGTATGTTTCTATACCGATCAGTACTTTTGAGACTATCAGAAGAGGACACTGAAGACCTGCTGACCAAACTAAAAAGTGAAAAGAAGTTTCAAGGGGAAGTTAATGCATGAGATTCAATACGGAAAAGAACTTCTTGACAAACGGGGGGGAAAAAAGGGTCATATCTTATACATATAACAGGGATGAATCCAAACTCTTGTACTTAGGTTTTTGTTGTTGTTTGTTTGTTTGTTTTTTTAAAAAAGGACAATAGTTACAGGATGGGGAAGATCAACTTTAACAATGCATGTGAAAAAAACATGGTGGGGTCCATGCGTGAGCAGAGATGTGGCTGCCATATAAGTAATCCAATTCAGATTCAAAAGTGCCCTGGCTGAGGCAACAGCCACCTCTATTATGCTCTGATTTGATGCACCCGGATTCAGAGAATGTTGTCACTGGCAGGAGACTTGGCGATCATCCCCTTCATCTCTCTTCTCACTTTATACACAAGTGGGAACTGAAGCCTATACTGGGTAAAAGTCTTGCCTCTACAAAAAGTCCAGGAGACAATCTTCTGAGCAGGAAAAATGCAAGAATAACAGGGCTCTTTCCAGAGTCAGGAGCCTAGAGGGGCCGGGCTAGCACCCTGGTTCCAGCGGCCCCAGCTCCCAGACATCCTCTGGCAAAGATCTCCGTCCCGGCTTCCACCCACTCTCCCTCCCCACCCGCCAGGCCAGCAACTTCACACCTGACACCTGTTCCACAAAAACCTCCATGGGGTCGGGAATGGGGTACAGACGAGTGGGTCGTTCCTGGGGAAAGGGGCGTGGTCCCGCCGTGAAACACAAAGGAGCCCCCGGCCCCACGCCCCCCCACGCCCGGCCCCGGGTGTGGCCGTGGCACCCGCAGAGCCCCGGCAGGACACGCACCCGCGCGAGCAAAGGCACCGCCGCGCGTGCACAGAACCTGCTCTGCAAGGCCCCGCAGCCCCGCAGCCCAAAGCGGCCGGTCTCGGAGGCGGGAGGCCACCAGCCCGTCCACGGCCTTTCCTCCGCCCCGCCCTCGGGCAGGGGCAGGGCCAAGCCGCTGGCAGGACGCCCCTCCTGGGCTCCCGCCACCCGGCCGCACTCACCCCTCTACACCCCCGTAGAG